GCCAACCGATAAAGCTTATTACATAGCTAAGGAGCTCCTTATGACAGAACGAACTTACAAGAAGGATCTGGATGTTATTAATGTGGTATGTAAAACTGCACTTTGTTTCAGAGATAGAGAACACGTCAGTTGAAATAAATTCAGTTTAGAAGATGTCCTATATTCAGAGAAACAGAAAGAAGACTCACAAATTTTAAGTTGTGATTTATATTTATGTGCAGTGGTTCCGCGAGGAAGTTTCTAGAGAAGCGGCATTAGAAGGGGAGACGGTAGTGTCTCTAATCGAGCTACTCGCCGACGTACATGGACCCTGCCTTCAAGAAATGGAGGCACGGCTAGCACGCTGGGAGAGCAACGCTCGTCACAATATCGGTGACTTTTTATACAATACGCTTCTAAACATTCTGCCTCTCTACGACCAATATCTGGAGAATCTCATCCCAGTATTGGAGAAAATGGAATACTCCATGCGAACGTCGCGACGTTTCGATCAGCTCTGCCGTGATTTTGAATCGCAGAAGCATTGCTATCTGCCATTATCTTCATTCCTTTTGAAACCTCTACAACGATTGTTGCATTATAACAGTATTATTGACAGTGAGTAATCCGAAATCAGATTGTAGATTTGTAACATATACACCCGATTCTTAATTTCTCAAAGTGATGTTCTTTTAGGATTATTGGATCATTATCCAAAAGATCATACCGATTTTGAGGATTGTTTGGCAGCGAGAGACAGACTCGGCGAAACATTGCTCGAGGGACTCACGATTATAAATCAAGCGGTAAGAAAATTAGGACAATTAGAGAATTTGATTGATACAAAAACTTAATAAATAAAATGAATGGATCTGAATTATGAGAGTACCGATTGTTTTTCCACTAATTCACAGTAAAGTCAATTATGTCAATTTTATATTTATTATTATTTTTTTTTATTTTTATTTTATATACCGTTGTAGGAAAATCTAGTGCAGTTATGCGAAATGCAAAGAGACATTACTGGTTTTGATAATCTAGTACAAGAAGGACGAAGGTTTATCAGGCAAGGATGCCTACAGAAGTACAGTCGTAAAGGTTTTCAACAGCGTATGTTTTTCTTGGTAAGTAGTCTACGTATTTCTTATTGAATGTGAATCTGATAATTTCGATAACAGATTAATATCGCGTTTATTTTCAGTTCTCAGACGTATTACTGTATACATTCCGTACCCAACAACCAACGCAATGTTTCCGTGTGCATGGTCAACTACCATTGAAAGGAATGAAGATTCAAGATGCAGATAATAAGACTGGAACGGATTTTGCTTTTATTATCGATGGACAAGGAAATCAGTAAATATCAAACGGTTTGAATTACATTGTACAATTGAAGAGATAGTAATAAAGTGTAAAAATATACTACAAGATACTAGTCATTAAAAGGTCGTATTGTTATTGAAAAGTCAACTAGCTAAACTGATTTTATTGAAGCACGCGTGCTTCATTAATGATCATCAGTGTGATTGTGACTTCGAACTTGGAAGAATATGAGTCAGTCGTGTTAAAGATATTTTAAGGGACAGAAATTAAAATATTTTCAATGTTATACTATTAAAATTAAAAACATAACAAAAGTAAAAGAAAAAAAATTTTAAATTTAAATGATTTTATTTTTGCAGATCATTAACAGTTGCAGCAAGCAACGAAGAAGAGAAAGAAAGATGGATAGAAGATTTAAACATGGCTATAGTACAGATCGATGCATCGGATGCGAAAATGCCGTATTTAAGTTTAAAATCTTGTAGTAAGTAATTATTAAATTAAGCAATATAAACTTGAAGTGTTTGTATTGAGTGAGACGTAGCTTTCTTTTTTAATGAAAGAAGATTTCTTCTAAGATTTTTTTTTAATGCAAAAGTTCTAGGTTCAGCCGATGAAGTGGGAGATGGTGTAGGATTAGAAGTAGATCGGACTAGTTGCGGAGGTGCGAAGGCCTCACAACGTAGCAATACTACAGTTCACGTTTGTTGGCATCGTAATACAAGTATTAGTTACAGTGATCAACTACGAGCGTTTCAAGTATGTTAAAGTTCCGAGTAATATTTGTATATCACTGATACCTTATCAGTCATTATACGACTACTTGGATATTTTGCATAAAAATTAACATATTCATTACATGCATTGTTTCAGAACCAGCTTAGTGGATTTCTTTTACGGAAATTTAAGAATAGCAATGGTTGGCAAAAGCTTTGGGTCGTATTTACTAACTTTTGTTTATTCTTCTACAAATCTCATCAAGACGACTTCCCATTAGCTTGTTTGCCATTATTAGGATATGCTGTTTCTACACCATCAGAGAAAGATGGGATCAACAAGGATTTTGTATTTAAGTTACAATTCAAAAACCATGTATATTTCTTTCGAGCAGAAAGTGATTATACTTTTGGGAGGTAAATATGCAGATTGTTTTTATGATTTTAAAAAGCTAAAATTTAAAAGAAAAATACAACGATAACTTTATATTTTCAGATGGATTGAAGTCATTCGAAGTGCAACTCAACAAAGTCATATGCCCACTAGTATGAATGGAAAAGAAGAGTATTAGAAATAAATTTACATGGATATATAATTACCGAAATAATTATTAAGATTAGAAATAGTTAAGATTATAGAATCCTGCTACGAAGTATAGTTTCAAAATGATGATATACAACAAAGAAGTCTAAATTTTTGGCCTTATATACAAAATTAAAAAAATCACAATTAGAGATATTTTAGATATTATATATAATATAAATTTTGATTGTGTATACAGTTTTCTGGAAGAACAACTTATCTTTAATTACATACTTTTTTATTTTTAAGCTATTATTCTATTATTTTGCTAGTAATATATTGCAAGCATTTACTTAAAACTAAAATATTTAATTATGACTTTGGAGTATTGTATTTTTTAACTTAAGTCATTCTTCCAAAGAACTCCACAATTTTGAAGACAATTAAAAATTGTTATGCCAATATAAAAATATAACGATAAAGATAGTATAGGAAA